TTACCCGATATTATTACCTACAACACTTTGATCAACGGTTTCTGTGAGATGGGAGATTTCGATAGTGCCAAGAATCTCATGGATAATCTCTTAGATTCCGATAATGATTCGGGATATGATAAAGCAAATCATATCACGTATACTAGTTTGATCAGCGGATATTGCAAGCAACACCAAATCGAAGAAGCATTGGCTGTGTATAAAGAAATGATTGCCAATGGAATTGAATATGATGTAGTTACACACAGTTGCATAATTAACGGACTTCTTAAGAGTGGGAAGTTAGCTGAGGCTGAAAACCTATTCCTCGAGATGGTACGAATTGGTGTCGATCCGAACCATGTTACCTATACAAATTTTGTTGATTTTTTCCTTAAAAATCGTAATGTGATGGCAGCTTTTAGCCTACAAAGTCAGATGGTGGTTCGTGGGATTAAATTCGATGTGGTGGTGTTTACTGCATTGATCGATGGACTCTTTAAGAATCGGAGGGCGAAAGAGGCTGAGGATATGTTTGGCAATCTTTTAGAGTATAATTTAGTGCCGAATTGCACCACGTATTCTGCGTTGATCGACGGTCTCTGTAAAATAGGTGATATGAAGGGTGTGGGGTCCGTACTGCAGCAAATGGCGGAGAAAAATGTTCTGCCGAATGTGGTAACTTATTCTTCGGTAATTAATGGTTATGTGAAAAGTGGAATGCTCGAGGAAGCTATTAATGTACTGTGGAAAATGATATGCGAAAATGTTACGCCAAATGCTTTCACCTACGGTTCGTTGATAGATGGTTGTTTGAAAGCTGGTAAAAAGGAAACTGCTGCAGGTCTTTATGAGGATATGAAAAAACGAGGGGTGGAAAATAATATTTTTATATTAGATGCTTTTACGAACAATCTGAAGAAGGAAGGAATGATGGATGAGGCAGAGGCGTTGTTTCAAGATTCGATTTTTAATGGATTGTTGCCCGACCGTGTTAACTACACAAACTTGATGGATGGACTTTTCAAAGCGGGTAAACAATCTTCGGCCCTTAAAGTCGCGGAAGAAATCACAGCTAAAAATATCGGGTTCGATATTGTTACGTTCAATGCTTTGCTTAACGGGTTGCTTAAACTCGGCCAATACGACGTGCAGTCTATTTATACGGGGCTGCAGAAATTCGATTTGGCTCCGGATCATGCCACATTTAATACGTTAATCAAGGCGTACTGCAGAGAAGGGAAATTGGACGACGCTCTGAAGATTTGGAATGAAATGAAAAGTTACGGATTAAAGCCTAATTCAATAACTTGTAATATTTTGACTGAAGGGCTCTGTGAGTCGGGTGAAGTCGATAAGGCGATGGTATTGTTGAACGAGTTGTCGATTTCCGGGTTTTATCCAACGGCAATTATTCACAAAATGGTGCTTAAAGCTGCTTCAGAGACTAAAAGGGCTGATGTTATTTTGTCGATGCACGAAAAGCTTGTGTCGATGGGGCTTAACTTGAATCTCGACGTGTATCAAAACCTTATCAATGTTTTATGTGGACTAAAAATGACGAGAAAAGCAACGTCTGTATTACAAGAAATGAGAGAAGCTGGCTTTCTTGCAGATACTGTTACTTACAACGCGCTGATTCGTGGACACTGTCGAAGCTCTCACTTAGACAAGGCTTTTATGCTGTATTCTTGTATGTTGACCGAACGAGTTTCTCCTAATATTACAACGTACAACATTCTCCTAGGCGGATCTACGGAATCTAGGTCAATGGATAAAGTGACTGAAATCCTCTCGGAAATGAAAGAGAAGGGCTTTATTCCAAACAGCACAACGTACGACGTTTTGGTTTCTGGGTACGGAAAAATCGGGAACAAGAAGGAATCCATAAGGCTTTACTGTGAAATGATAACGAAAGGGTTCGTGCCTCGGCTCAGCACCTACAACTTACTTGTAAATGATTTTGCCAAAGTCGGGAAAATGAAACAGGCGATGGAGCTTTTGAACGAAATGCAAAGTAGAGGAGTGCCGCCGAATTCCTCGACTTACGACATGCTTATAAGTGGGTGGTGTCACTTATCGTATCAAGAAAGGTCGATGAAGAAGTTGTATCAAGCGGAGGCGAGGAGGCTGTTTAAAGAGATGGCGGATAAAGGGTTTACGCCGAGTGAGAATAGTATAAATCAGCTGAGTTCTGTACTTGCGAAACCGGGAAAAGCGGCCGATGCTCAGAGGATAATGGATAAAATATATAAAACAAAGAGAGGCTGACAGAAAGATCGACATTTTTCCGTTTGTGAAAGTGAGTCCCTATTTAGTTTTTTATCCTGTGTATTTATTTTACAAACAAAACTGCATCATAGTATATCTTCGCTATCTGTCTAATCTTTGTTATTGATCTAAAGTTTCCCGTGGTTGCGTATCTGTCTGATTCGTAATATTTCTTGCAATTTGTGTTTTTTAACTTTGTGCACATTGATTTCACTAAAGCGTCGTTTTTTTTTCTCTCCTTATTCTCGTTCAAGTGTACCTGCTACTGATTGAGAATATTTGCAGTGAAACACAAATGAGCTATATGGAGTGAATGAACTCGAGATGATGACACTTTATTAGTCGGAAAAGCAAGAATTCATTCAGTAGCAGGTACACTTGACTACTTAGTATTTTTTTTTCGGCTTATGGTGCAGCTGGTGTAAAGTATATTTGCTAGATAAAGGCTTTGTTTTTTCATTTTTTTTTTCGTTAAAGTAGAATTTTTTTTTACTTTCATTTGTACAGGGATCTTGAATTGAGAGTGAAGCCTTTGAGAGAGAGAGAGAGAGAGAGAGAGAGAGAGAGAGAGAGAGAGAGAGAGAGAGAGAGAGAGAGAGAGAGAGAGAGAGAGAGAGGCATGTTCGAAAGCGTTGCTCGAAAGCTTGACGGAGCCTCCTTCCTTACAGTCCATCTTGAAGGGTTCAATTCCTATTCCCTTATGGTTCGGTTAGGGTTGAAAATTGAAGCAAGTCTGAAGGTAGACCTGCTGCATTCTTTCGGTGGTTTCGAGACAGATAATGCTAGAGTAAACTGCAAAAAGTACGCTGGTGTAATCTCCAAATAGCAAAAAATTCTCTGTGAGAAATAAACTAGTAAAAAGCCCTTATGAAGTTATTTATACAGCACACCCAGCCCATTATTCATTTGAGTGTTCACTTGATATAAAAAGACACAAATACCCCCAGTTATATTCATTTGAGTGTTCACTTGATATAAAAAGACACAATTACCCCCAGTGTTTTACAATTGATATATTCTTATATTTTATAAATTTTAATTATTTTATTTTTGTTATATCTTAATTTGAAAGTACAATGAGGTCTTTTATTTCTATTTTTATTATTAAATAATTTATGTATATATTTTAAATCTGAAATGATTTGCGCGGTACTAAAATTACGAATACCGTTCACAACATGTTTTTCTTTCTCTTTCTAACTCACAACTACAAAAATACAAACTCAACTATATTTTACAAAAACAAAAGGTATACAAACATTATAATTGATTTATACAATTGGAATCAATATGCAAAAAAACTCAAAAAAAAATTAAAAATTGGAGTCAATGAAGCATACTAATCGACTATGATCAACACAGTCGATTAAGGAACTGGGTACTAAAAATAACAAACAACCACTGCAAAAAAATGTAAAATTAACTATATTTTACAAAATAAAAAATATGCAAACATTATAATTGATTTATACAATTGGAATCAATAAAATATATATATATATATATATATATATATATATATATATATATATATATATATATATATATATATATATATATATATATATATATATATATATATATATATATATATATATATATATATAACTACTATTTTGTATTCTTAAAAATTGAATTAGTGTAAAGTTGAGGGACTAAAAATTTAACTCTACCATTGGTTGGGGAAGAAGAGAAGACTACTGCGTCACTCTTTTTTTTTGTTTTTTTTTTTTTTTTTTGTACAAACATGAAAAAGAATAAAAGAAATATTTTAAGATAATGAAAAATCAAATGTAATGCATAAAAAAAATGAAAAGATAAATATTTCTAAAATTACAATATATGTTTATTTTTTTAATTATTAACAATTATAAAAGAATGAAATAAATAATATTTATATTATAAAATTAAAAACAACTATATTACAAAATTTGGTATAATTAAATTAATTATAGACTTTTGCTTCAATACAAAGTACAGAAATATATCATATTTTTTTTCAATCAAATATACATCATTTACAAGAGGTGGCGGATATATGCAAGCAGATTTTTTTATTAGTTCAATCCACATAAAAAAGTTTATTAGTTCAAGTCCGAAAATTAATCTAATTTTATTACATAAAGACCAAAGAGGACAAATAATATTCATAAATAATACCAAAATACAAATAAACCTTATTTTTAATTTGTTCAAGACCAAAAAATCAAAAAACAAAAAAAAAAAACAATAAGAAAATATCACGACTGTCGCCGCCAGACCGCAGCGATGCCGACCAGCGAGATTTCCACTGTGCCGGCGATGACCAGCGACCCACCCACCGCACCATTACCACCACCACACCACCACCAACAAGTAAGTCCTTTTTTCTAAATTTTGTTTGTAAATTCGAAAACATTAATCGAGCATCGATTCTTGATAAATATGCGTGGATGAACATTAATCTATGCTTATTTCTTGTTGGGTTGCAATTCTTTGGACGATTTTGGAAAAAAATAATTGAGATTGAATTTTTTTTTTTTTTGTGTTTTCGTTGGTTTCCCAAATCGGTTTACCCTGACCGATTCTGTACATGAAAATCGGCATCATAATGCGAATTTTGTTAACCAAATCGGCGACACAACTTCGACTTCACAAGTCAAAATCGGCATTGTAATGTCGATTATTGAGTACAAAATCGATTTTTGGATACCGATGTTTTTCGATTTATTTTTTTTGAATAATATATTATATATTTGGTTGATTGATATTTTTTAAATGTTTTCCAGTGGAACCTCAACCTCCTCGTGTACCGTCGACCGTCTCAAACCGTAAACGAAAGGAAAATGCTCAAAAGAGCAAGGTGGAAAAGCCAAAAAAAAAAAGGCGTTCCCCTTTTAATCCTCCCGATCGACGCACTCGGATTGACGAAGGTCCTTCTTCAATACCGATATCTCATGGTTTTTTTCCTTTTTGGATTTTTTTTACAACTCGTAATACACACTATCCTTAGGTGTCTGGATCTTATAATACAACTTTAGAGGTATTAAGCATAAATATATATGTTACGAGCAATTGTAAGTAATGCATAATAATAATAAAGGCTACCGACAATCTTAAACGATTGTACATCAGTTACATTGTTTCACGCAAAATATTTTATCGTCTCGTCTTCACTTATATATGTTAAATCTATGAAGGTTTCTTGCAAGGCTACTTCTTGACCAACTAACTTACTAAACATTGTAATTATTGATTCTATATCGGAAGTCTTCCAACCATCCGATTTTTCATCATGGTACCGCCGCCAATAATACGCCATAGGAGGCATAGGATAATTTATTTTAACTCTCACTCAACATTATTGGTATCCTTTCCTTATTTTGTCCCTTTAATCTAAATGTGCAATTACATTTTTTAGAACCCGTCCTCCTTTCTCCCTCTTCTTGGTCATCCTCACCGGCTTTCTTCTTCCCACGATACTCACCCGCACGCTCACATGCGAGTACAACATACGGTCTTCTACGCCCTTTCGATCCCGGAGTTGAAATAAAAATGTTTATCACCATTCCGTAGTGTCTACCAACTCCTTTAACCCAATCGAGTAGAGCTTCCCGCGTCTCAAATATTTGTTTGGTAGATAATTCATCTCAATAATCCTCCATCAATCACCTAGGTCGCTGCAAGAAAGTATGGGAAAACGGTCTTAAAAAAATACAGATAATAAAATCAGTACTTAAAAACCGATTTTTGTAGTACAAGTCGGCATGACAATACAGATAATACAAAAACAAATCGGTGTTGTCATGCCGTTTTGTACTACAAAAATCGCTATTTAAGTGTCAATTTTGTA